TGTTGCGGCTGGGGCGCGGTCTCCCAGGGGAACTGATGGGGGTCAGACATTCATTCAGCTGAGAGTAACAGCATACAGTTGGACAAAGACGGAAGGAATGGAGGAAAAGAGAGAAGGGAGGCTGTAAAAGCCTACTGTTGACTACATTGTCCAAAAATTTTAGGCTAAATTAAACTGATCTTGAATTGTGATGCTGAATAAGTGATGAATAAAAATAGTCTACTAAAGGATTGTGTGTGTGTTTCTGTCAGGGATGCTGACCTTGGAGGACTTCAGCCGTGTTTATGTTATGTCCCAGCGCCCAGGACAACAGCAAAGCAGAAAGCTCCATAGTCACTTCAGACAGAGAAGCAAACATACGTGGCTTTACCAAGGTCCGGGATCCCACCGTGTGCTGCACACACTCAGGAACAGGTAACTGTACATTACACACATTCTGTCACATTCTTACAGAAGCAGCTCATACACTCATGATTTATACTATACTTGTGTTTTGTGCTCTCATTTCTTTTGTTCAGAGTAACCAGTCTGACACGTCTGCCCTCTGCATTGGTTGAGCTGAGTGAGCCGCTGCAGGTGATTCGCTATGAGCATGGAGACTTCAGTAATGCCCACCACGACAGCAGCCCTCCTCATTCAGAGACTACCTGCGCACACACACGGCTGGCAGGAAACACATCTGCTCTTGCAGAGGTCTCTTGCAGGTATGTATGATATGTACTCTCAATTTCGTTTGTCTTCAGTGGCTTTGCAAGTGTTGATAGTTTAGTAGATAAATATAATTTCACAGAGAACCGTAATTATCTCCAAGTTAGCTTAGCTTTTCATTTGACCTATGATTGATAACATCATGTTTATAACACGTATGTTGACGAGGTTGACGACCTCTGCAATTACTACAAATTACTAGAGGTCCTCAGGTAATACTAGTCCCTTGCAAATAGTGCTTAACCCACTTATTTACTGGTTTTGTGCTTTTGTGATTTCTTTTAGACAGTATTAATAGTGTTTGTGGCATAAAAACAAAACAATTTCTCTCGCTATTTTCTCACTATTATCTGTATTTGTCTCTTCCTTTTTTGTTTTATCCAAGGTACCTTACCATGTTATTCTACCTCAGCTCTGTAGAGGAAGGTGGTGAGACCACCTTTCCTGTGGCAGACAACCGTACCTATGAAGAGCAGGTAAGGGTGCTTTCACAACTCGCAGTCAAAAACCAGCAAAGCCTCTTTTCTTTACTGCCACTGTGAAATGATGATAACTGTACATGACCTGAATGCTGCTGATAATACGCAGATGGTGCTGACCCATGACAAGGAATCTGACACCTAAGTGAACAAAGTGTCCCAAAATAAATGTTTAGACACAAGCTGTTTACAGTTTTGTGTGTCCTAGGCACTGATCCAGGACGGAGTTGATTTGACAGACACCCAGGAGACATGCAGCAGAGGGAACCTGAAAATGAAACCTGCTGCTGGGACAGCTCTGCTCTGGTACAACCATCTTTCTGATGGTAGAGGTAAGAACAGAAGGCTTTAACTATATCATTTGCACACACATATCCAGTGAGCAACTCCAGTATGTTGATTTGGGGTCTAGTGTAGGAAGCAATGTACATCAAACCCCATTTCACTAGACGTTAGGACTGAATCCAGGGAGACCCAAGCATGCAAGTGTACATTTTTAATTCCAGTTTCTGTGTATTGTCACCTTACAAGGGTATACATTCATCACATTTAAGTTCAGTTATCTGTTTTTATCCCGAAATATATCACCCACGTAAATTATGTAAACAAGGATCTCTTTCAGAATTTGAAAAAAAAGCCTGTTTGCCAGTATCAGCTGATAGGCAGATGATGGACTGAGAGCCTGTAGGGAATAAAATATTCCAATGGAAGTGTAAAGTTTTTCTACCATTAGTTTCTCTCTTGGAAATTAGCTCTGGTTATAAATGCTGTGATGCATTGATAATTGTAAAGCCATTTTCTATGTAAACTGTATCTGTCCCTATCAAATAAACATGAGATGATGATAATAATAATAATAATAATAATAATAAAAAACAACATACGACAGCTATACTGTGAAATTAAAATTGTGATGACTTACAGCCATGTGGTCATAACAACAGTACCAATATCTTACTTGATAGCACAATGAGAACATTTTTGATTCATTGTAACAAGAAAGAAGCTTTGAGTTTGCACAGAAACATTAGTCCCAAAAACATAGTTAGCTCTATCTTAGAAATGTACTTGTCTCTAAATCATCCAGTGTTTTCCCTGAAAGGTTGTTTGCTCATCTTGTTCACCAGTAGCTTCTACACTCAGTCCTCCCTCTCAAATGCTGTTCATCTTCTCCCCTGCCTTCCCTAGGTTGGATGGGTGAGCTAGATGAGTATTCCCTACACGGCGACTGTCCAGTCAGGCGTGGGGTGAAATGGGTGGCCAACAGCTGGGTAAATGTGGACCCAGATCACCAGCAGCAGGCCCGCTACCAGAGACTAGTTGCACAGAGGCATCAAGCTAAGTCGGGCACGGAGGAGCATTACCAAGCTCTCTCACACAGCGACCTCCATCAGGACCTATAGCCGGGCCTTTTTAATGACAAAGTGACCATAATTTCAAAACTGGGTCGGTCTTGCACCTATAATACCAGTAAGGCTTGATACACTTTTCCACAATGTCAGACGCTGTAGTTGAAATTAAAATTGCACAAAAACTGCCCCAGATATCTTCTTCTCCTTTCAGTAAATCTGTGACGCATTATATTATGTCTCTCAAGCCACTTGCTTGGATATCCATATTTTTCTTTCTCAATTTTGTTTGAAAGGTTTGGTGAATTTTAATATAGAATTGTGGTGGGCAGATGCATTGGTTTCCTCTCAATTAATTTATAATACATAATAACAAATTTGATATGAATTAAACAGAATGAATGCCATTCTCTTTATATAAAATATCACTTATTCAGAATAAATATATGGATACTATGATGCGAGTTGGAAAAGATCATGTCCAAGAGATGAGCCTGCTTACCTGCCTTCCATTTAGGTTTACTAGGCATTTACTCCTGTTGCAGGTCTGTTAATTATTGTAATAGAATTTAAGCCTTTTGCTACGAGCCATATCACCATATTCATCTGTGAATGTGTTCCTGAGGGAAGTCTTTTTTGTTTGTTTCCTCAGTTTTGTTTTTCCAGAGTTTATCATGAAATGTTATTTAATAAGGAGTTTGCCACACGTACTTGCAAATGCAGGACTCTTTTTGACTGGACAAAAGGATTGCTTTTCACACTGGCTGTGGGAGGCCGGTCCTTCAGGTGTAATTTAAACGTAGGTCTTTAATATTACAACTTTTCTCTTTCTTATCCTCACATCTCAAAAATATTTAATTGTCTGAGAGTATTTATTTGAGTGTTATTTATTACCAGTATGATTTAAGTTAAAATGAATGCATATTTATTACAGCTTGATGTTGCACTGAATTTGTCGATGTATTTATTGTATTTGTTCTATGTCATAAAATATATAAAGCAGTGTTTTATCAGTGGTGTTTTGTGTTCATTCATGCAAACATGTTGATGTAGACAATGTCCACTAGATGTAGCCCAAACGCCCATCTTCATTCCTAGGTCATCAGTACCAGAGCTTTGTCACACCCCTTGGTTATCCTGTAGA